GAATAATTGTGAAATAATATCAGTCTTTTTAATAGTTCACTGACATGTTTAAAACCAAATTATAATCACAGTCATATTCAGTTAAGTGAAATTGAAAATCATATGTGACTTTACATCATTAAAGTCTTTTCTTTACACAACTGGCATGGTCATCCAGCACAGGATCAAGTTGACCTTTTTTATATACATCACAAATGTTTGCTTTATTTAAGTCCTTGAATGTTTTATGCACAACTAAGTTTTCTGCCTTTTGTGAAAGTTTACGGTGCTGTACCTCTTCTCTTTTTTGATATTCTTTCTGGTATGCACATTCTCGATCGGTACTGTCCAGGAAGGCATTTGTCCGGTTACTAAGTTCAATACCCAGTCTGACACACTTCATTTTTGTTGATGTGCCAGGGGAATTGTTACTACGGTGGACAGTAGCCGCAAGTCGACCTTTCATGTTTCTGCTAAAGTACACATTTTTAGGCAAATTTGCACTTATGGCCCTATGCGTAGCTTCATTTTTGTTCGTATTGTCATACAGCTTCATACTGTCTAGAGCGTTGATACTTAGTTTCATTTTTAAAATTTCAAATAACAAATGTTTATCATTTTCATTCATTTGCAGGCGTGTGATCTGATATGAGGACAGAAATATTGAACGATTCCACCAGTTTTTGGTCTCGGCACCAGCACAGACTATGGAATTGGTACTGCACATAGAACAGTCGCCATCATAACACCTCATGGTAGCTTCGAAAGCTTTTGGTAAGTCTTCTGATATCTTCTGAATGTCACGGCCATACACTTCCATGAGATGACTGGTAATCAATGAAGACCTAGCTTTTATGTCCTGGCTGAAAAGCTTTTGAATTATTTTCTTTTGCTCTTTTGTCCTGCAACCGAACATATTGTCACTGAAATTAGCACGCATAGCTGCACGAAATTGCCCGTTTCCCAGATGGATAGGATCTGCTAGCCGCTCTACCTTCCACATTGGATGCAGAGCTTGAATGGCATCATTTATTCCATTTGCAGATCTACCATCACCATCTGTTGTTGCATACTTTACAAGAATTCCTTGTACAGCTAGCTGGTTACCAATCTTTTTCCCAAGTTCATACTCTGACAATGGAGCTGCACGATGTAGATCAGCCGTGCACTCTTGATGTCCATTTGGACATTCAATTGTAAATCCCTTGCCGCGTAACCATGCTCCGGTCCAACACATCTGATTTAATGATGCGGTTGCAACAATGTACTTTCTATCTGTCACTGTCTCAATGCCGACTGCACATGCTTGATTTGCATTCTGACCAGGTTTCTTTTTGCTTGTTATAGTATTACTTGAGTAACGCACATCGACAGTTAGGTTTATTTCATTTTCAGGGGCTCCTCTCTTTCTATTGACAGCTTTAACTATCTCCAACTTCTCAGCCATGTCATCTTGGTTAAGTTCAACTAATGTATCAGACACTTTGTTTGATGTTCTTTGCATACTACTTTTTGATGGTGGTGAACAATTCATATTTGAAAGTAGTTGTTGTGCTCTAGTATTTCCAATTGCTGTCTCTTGGATGCCTAGAGCAAAACCAACATTTGCAGCTGCTGGATCTGGACCTGGCTTCTGAGATGGTATAGTTTTGTACAGTTTGTACATTGGTGTAATAAATTGGCAACGGACACAGTAAACTTGAAACTTCCAACATACTCCCCACTTCTGAATGTTATAGTATGCAAATGACGGCGGACCACAAGGTTCAGATTTTATTGAATGTAGATGTACTGCATTGTTAATCATTGTCATTAGTTTCTCATTGTCAATAATACTCATTCCGTCAAATAAATTGTTCTTTATTTCTGTTTTCAGATCAACAGTTGGAGTCTTCTTTGGTCGCAAGATACACATCGGACCAGAATTTCCTTCGCAGTCTGGAGTTGTTAATAGCATCCCATCCATTCTTGGTTTGACGACAAGATCATACTCATTGGATTCCATGCGCTCATAGGTAGTGTTAGTTTTAGCAGTGTTCCAGGAAACTTCAGTACCTTTATTCCATGGAGTGTGACCTTTTGTGAAAGCTGATTTTTTAGGTTGTTTGTGATTCGATAAACCAGATTTCTTTTTATTCCATGGAGAATTACCATTTTTGAACATGATGACGATTAAATTTTTTTAAGTCAGCAGTTAAAAATCACTTAAAGAAGTTTGATGCTGAATGTTAGTTACAAACTATTTATTGTTCCTATTATGTAAATGCCTTCAAGTGATGTTTGATACATTTATCTAGATTAATTAAGAATTAAGTGACCGCAGTTGTATGTACACTTATTGTAGTCTGAGCAGGGGGCATCCTTTAAGAATCATTTTTTTCATATTAAACAAACATTATTTCCATATTGGTTGATAACATATGTTTTATTTAGGATTAGTCAGTCTATCAAAACATATATTTACTTAAATGTAAATGAAATGGAATTTAATTTTGAATTTTATTTTCAGAACAAAATTTGAAAAGGACATTTTTAACTTTAATTGAAAAAAAATCATAGACCTGCATGACTAGAATTCTTCTTTTTTAAATTAAAAATTAGAATATTACTTAGAAAATGTTCCTATACAACTTAAAATGTATAATTTTTATGTTTTACAGAAAAAAAAATCTCATCTAGTGGTTGTTATAATACATGCGAAAAGAAAGAAACTACTTTAAAATGGTGCTTTCCTAAAACCATAATTTTTGCTAAAGTTGAAATAAATTTAGAATTTTTTGAAAGATGTTTTTCTTCGTTATATGTTTGTTGAATTTTTTATGAAAGAATTATGGAGAAAAAAGATTGATTTCTATTTTTTATTAAATTTTTAAAATTAAAAACATTGTTTTCTTATGGTATTTCTCTTATAATTTATTTCTCTTTAAAATTGTTTTAAAACCATAAAATGAACATTATGTCTAAATCTAGAAACCTATTTCAGCATGCTAAATTTTATTTCATAAAGATATTCCAACAAATGGGAAAGTTATTCAACTTTTCAAAATTAACATTGCTGGGCTAACTCGTCTTTATTGCTTTCTACTGATAAGATATTTGTGAACATGGGTTGTGTCATAAAATATGGTGTAACTTTTTTAATACGTCTTTAAATGGCAAATAAGTTGGTAAAGTTCTTCGATATACATTTTCCATTGTTCGTATGAATTTTTGTAGGACTAGATGAAAAAAAGTTGGTCTAATAGGCTTCAGGCCACAATTAATTCCCCTTTGCTCGTGGTCTAGGAATGTAGTTCCTATAGTAAAAATAGGTAATTTCTTCCATAATTTTTTTCTGTGCTTTTTATTTGCAAAAGTGAGTGTTTCTTGGTTAATTTTGGTAGAATAGTGTTTGAATGAATTGCTATGATACCCAAAACTTGAATATTTGAAATTGAAAGTTGTAAATTGTCTTCAGTTCAAAGGTCAAATTTTTGGTGTTTACTTTCTTTTCGTTGGTTAGGTGAACCCCATGGATGTGTATTGAGGTGTTACGGACGAAAGCACTGATGGATTTTTCTGGCATTGTAATATTTTCCTGAGAAAAGGATGATCTTCATGTGGAGCAAATGTCATTTTGTTTGAAGCGGTGTAATTTTTTTTATATGTCATTATTTTTACAAAGAATGTATAGGCAAATTAATTGTGGTCTGAGGCCTAGGAGACGGGTGTTGATTGCACACAAAAAATGACTTTCTGACCTTATTTTTTACAGTATTTGAATAACAATCACTGTTTTAGAATCGTAATGAAAAGGGCTTTCCTTTGATATAAGTTTGAAGGAGAAATTTAAATTTGAAATTTAATTTATTTCAAAAATATGATTTTAAAAACAAGAAATTTTAATTGTAGGATTAATTTGTAAAAAATAAGGTCACAAAATTATTTTTAGTGTGCAAATTCATACTCTTATGTGCACTGACATGACCCTTAAACTTTACAAAGTTAAAATGGAGGCATTTTTTGAAAAATATCTGACTAAATTGTATGAAAATGCCATGCTTGGCCAAAATGGAGAATGTAATATTTGGACTGGGGCTTGTACATCCAATGGCAAATATGGAGTTTTAAATTGCAAATTCCCAAATGCCATTGGATGGACAAAAATTCATGTTCACAGACTTGCCTACATGATAAAGCACAAAAAATTTAACTTCCAAGGGCTAGATGTGTCACATCTGTGTCATAATTCAAAGTGCATAAATACTGACCATTTATCACTTGAACCACATGGATTCAACAATAGCAGAATGACTTGTGTGTCTGTTGGGAAATGTTTAGGACACCCATTTCCTCTTCATCCTTGTAAAATTGAACTGAAGATGGCAAATAATAATTTGAGTAAATAAATAATTTAATTTTTACTTATTTGATAATTAAACATGATAAGTATACATGACTTTGCTGACACATTTTATCATTCAATGAATTTAGAATAATTGTGAAATAATATCAGTCTTTTTAATAGTTCACTGACATGTTTAAAACCAAATTATAATCACAGTCATATTCAGTTAAGTGAAATTGAAAATCATATGTGACTTTACATCATTAAAGTCTTTTCTTTACACAACTGGCATGGTCATCCAGCACAGGATCAAGTTGACCTTTTTTATATACATCACAAATGTTTGCTTTATTTAAGTCCTTGAATGTTTTATGCACAACTAAGTTTTCTGCCTTTTGTGAAAGTTTACGGTGCTGTACCTCTTCTCTTTTTTGATATTCTTTCTGGTATGCACATTCTCGATCGGTACTGTCCAGGAAGGCATTTGTCCGGTTACTAAGTTCAATACCCAGTCTGACACACTTCATTTTTGTTGATGTGCCAGGGGAATTGTTACTACGGTGGACAGTAGCCGCAAGTCGACCTTTCATGTTTCTGCTAAAGTACACATTTTTAGGCAAATTTGCACTTATGGCCCTATGCGTAGCTTCATTTTTGTTCGTATTGTCATACAGCTTCATACTGTCTAGAGCGTTGATACTTAGTTTCATTTTTAAAATTTCAAATAACAAATGTTTATCATTTTCATTCATTTGCAGGCGTGTGATCTGATATGAGGACAGAAATATTGAACGATTCCACCAGTTTTTGGTCTCGGCACCAGCACAGACTATGGAATTGGTACTGCACATAGAACAGTCGCCATCATAACACCTCATGGTAGCTTCGAAAGCTTTTGGTAAGTCTTCTGATATCTTCTGAATGTCACGGCCATACACTTCCATGAGATGACTGGTAATCAATGAAGACCTAGCTTTTATGTCCTGGCTGAAAAGCTTTTGAATTATTTTCTTTTGCTCTTTTGTCCTGCAACCGAACATATTGTCACTGAAATTAGCACGCATAGCTGCACGAAATTGCCCGTTTCCCAGATGGATAGGATCTGCTAGCCGCTCTACCTTCCACATTGGATGCAGAGCTTGAATGGCATCATTTATTCCATTTGCAGATCTACCATCACCATCTGTTGTTGCATACTTTACAAGAATTCCTTGTACAGCTAGCTGGTTACCAATCTTTTTCCCAAGTTCATACTCTGACAATGGAGCTGCACGATGTAGATCAGCCGTGCACTCTTGATGTCCATTTGGACATTCAATTGTAAATACCTTGCCGCGTAACCATGCTCCGGTCCAACACATCTGATTTAATGATGCGGTTGCAACAATGTACTTTCTATCTGTCACTGTCTCAATGCCGACTGCACATGCTTGATTTGCATTCTGACCAGGTTTCTTTTTGCTTGTTATAGTATTACTTGAGTAACGCACATCGACAGTTAGGTTTATTTCATTTTCAGGGGCTCCTCTCTTTCTATTGACAGCTTTAACTATCTCCAACTTCTCAGCCATGTCATCTTGGTTAAGTTCAACTAATGTATCAGACACTTTGTTTGATGTTCTTTGCATACTACTTTTTGATGGTGGTGAACAATTCATATTTGAAAGTAGTTGTTGTGCTCTAGTATTTCCAATTGCTGTCTCTTGGATGCCTAGAGCAAAACCAACATTTGCAGCTGCTGGATCTGGACCTGGCTTCTGAGATGGTATAGTTTTGTACAGTTTGTACATTGGTGTAATAAATTGGCAACGGACACAGTAAACTTGAAACTTCCAACATACTCCCCACTTCTGAATGTTATAGTATGCAAATGACGGCGGACCACAAGGTTCAGATTTTATTGAATGTAGATGTACTGCATTGTTAATCATTGTCATTAGTTTCTCATTGTCAATAATACTCATTCCGTCAAATAAATTGTTCTTTATTTCTGTTTTCAGATCAACAGTTGGAGTCTTCTTTGGTCGCAAGATACACATCGGACCAGAATTTCCTTCGCAGTCTGGAGTTGTTAATAGCATCCCATCCATTCTTGGTTTGACGACAAGATCATACTCATTGGATTCCATGCGCTCATAGGTAGTGTTAGTTTTAGCAGTGTTCCAGGAAACTTCAGTACCTTTATTCCATGGAGTGTGACCTTTTGTGAAAGCTGATTTTTTAGGTTGTTTGTGATTCGATAAACCAGATTTCTTTTTATTCCATGGAGAATTACCATTTTTGAACATGATGACGATTAAATTTTTTTAAGTCAGCAGTTAAAAATCACTTAAAGAAGTTTGATGCTGAATGTTAGTTACAAACTATTTATTGTTCCTATTATGTAAATGCCTTCAAGTGATGTTTGATACATTTATCTAGATTAATTAAGAATTAAGTGACCGCAGTTGTATGTACACTTATTGTAGTCTGAGCAGGGGGCATCCTTTAAGAATCATTTTTTTCATATTAAACAAACATTATTTCCATATTGGTTGATAACATATGTTTTATTTAGGATTAGTCAGTCTATCAAAACATATATTTACTTAAATGTAAATGAAATGGAATTTAATTTTGAATTTTATTTTCAGAACAAAATTTGAAAAGGACATTTTTAACTTTAATTGAAAAAAAATCATAGACCTGCATGACTAGAATTCTTCTTTTTTAAATTAAAAATTAGAATATTACTTAGAAAATGTTCCTATACAACTTAAAATGTATAATTTTTATGTTTTACAGAAAAAAAAATCTCATCTAGTGGTTGTTATAATACATGCGAAAAGAAAGAAACTACTTTAAAATGGTGCTTTCCTAAAACCATAATTTTTGCTAAAGTTGAAATAAATTTAGAATTTTTTGAAAGATGTTTTTCTTCGTTATATGTTTGTTGAATTTTTTATGAAAGAATTATGGAGAAAAAAGATTGATTTCTATTTTTTATTAAATTTTTAAAATTAAAAACATTGTTTTCTTATGGTATTTCTCTTATAATTTATTTCTCTTTAAAATTGTTTTAAAACCATAAAATGAACATTATGTCTAAATCTAGAAACCTATTTCAGCATGCTAAATTTTATTTCATAAAGATATTCCAACAAATGGGAAAGTTATTCAACTTTTCAAAATTAACATTGCTGGGCTAACTCGTCTTTATTGCTTTCTACTGATAAGATATTTGTGAACATGGGTTGTGTCATAAAATATGGTGTAACTTTTTTAATACGTCTTTAAATGGCAAATAAGTTGGTAAAGTTCTTCGATATACATTTTCCATTGTTCGTATGAATTTTTGTAGGACTAGATGAAAAAAAGTTGGTCTAATAGGCTTCAGACCACAATTAATTCCCTTTGCTCGTGGTCTAGGAATGTAGTTCCTATAGTAAAAATAGGTAATTTCTTCCATAATTTTTTTCTGTGCTTTTTATTTGCAAAAGTGAGTGTTTCTTGGTTAATTTTGGTAGAATAGTGTTTGAATGAATTGCTATGATACCCAAAACTTGAATATTTGAAATTGAAAGTTGTAAATTGTCTTCAGTTCAAAGGTCAAATTTTTGGTGTTTACTTTCTTTTCGTTGGTTAGGTGAACCCCATGGATGTGTATTGAGGTGTTACGGACGAAAGCACTGATGGATTTTTCTGGCATTGTAATATTTTCCTGAGAAAAGGATGATCTTCATGTGGAGCAAATGTCATTTTGTTTGAAGCGGTGTAATTTTTTTTATATGTCATTATTTTTACAAAGAATGTATAGGCAAATTAATTGTGGTCTGAGGCCTAGGAGACGGGTGTTGATTGCACACAAAAAATGACTTTCTGACCTTATTTTTTACAGTATTTGAATAACAATCACTGTTTTAGAATCGTAATGAAAAGGGCTTTCCTTTGATATAAGTTTGAAGGAGAAATTTAAATTTGAAATTTAATTTATTTCAAAAATATGATTTTAAAAACAAGAAATTTTAATTGTAGGATTAATTTGTAAAAAATAAGGTCACAAAATTATTTTAGTGTGCAAATTCATACTCTTATGTGCACTGACATGACCCTTAAACTTTACAAAGTTAAAATGGAGGCATTTTTTGAAAAATATCTGACTAAATTGTATGAAAATGCCATGCTTGGCCAAAATGGAGAATGTAATATTTGGACTGGGGCTTGTACATCCAATGGCAAATATGGAGTTTTAAATTGCAAATTCCCAAATGCCATTGGATGGACAAAAATTCATGTTCACAGACTTGCCTACATGATAAAGCACAAAAAATTTAACTTCCAAGGGCTAGATGTGTCACATCTGTGTCATAATTCAAAGTGCATAAATACTGACCATTTATCACTTGAACCACATGTTTTCAACAATAGCAGAATGACTTGTGTGTCTGTTGGGAAATGTTTAGGACACCCATTTCCTCTTCATCCTTGTAAAATTGAACTGAAGATGGCAAATAATAATTTGAGTAAATAAATAATTTAATTTTTACTTATTTGATAATTAAACATGATAAGTATACATGACTTTGCTGACACATTTTATCATTCAATGAATTTAGAATAATTGTGAAATAATATCAGTCTTTTTAATAGTTCACTGACATGTTTAAAACCAAATTATAATCACAGTCATATTCAGTTAAGTGAAATTGAAAATCATATGTGACTTTACATCATTAAAGTCTTTTCTTTACACAACTGGCATGGTCATCCAGCACAGGATCAAGTTGACCTTTTTTATATACATCACAAATGTTTGCTTTATTTAAGTCCTTGAATGTTTTATGCACAACTAAGTTTTCTGCCTTTTGTGAAAGTTTACGGTGCTGTACCTCTTCTCTTTTTTGATATTCTTTCTGGTATGCACATTCTCGATCGGTACTGTCCAGGAAGGCATTTGTCCGGTTACTAAGTTCAATACCCAGTCTGACACACTTCATTTTTGTTGATGTGCCAGGGGAATTGTTACTACGGTGGACAGTAGCCGCAAGTCGACCTTTCATGTTTCTGCTAAAGTACACATTTTTAGGCAAATTTGCACTTATGGCCCTATGCGTAGCTTCATTTTTGTTCGTATTGTCATACAGCTTCATACTGTCTAGAGCGTTGATACTTAGTTTCATTTTTAAAATTTCAAATAACAAATGTTTATCATTTTCATTCATTTGCAGGCGTGTGATCTGATATGAGGACAGAAATATTGAACGATTCCACCAGTTTTTGGTCTCGGCACCAGCACAGACTATGGAATTGGTACTGCACATAGAACAGTCGCCATCATAACACCTCATGGTAGCTTCGAAAGCTTTTGATAAGTCTTCTGATATCTTCTGAATGTCACGGCCATACACTTCCATGAGATGACTGGTAATCAATGAAGACCTAGCTTTTATGTCCTGGCTGAAAAGCTTTTGAATTATTTTCTTTTGCTCTTTTGTCCTGCAACCGAACATATTGTCACTGAAATTAGCACGCATAGCTGCACGAAATTGCCCGTTTCCCAGATGGATAGGATCTGCTAGCCGCTCTACCTTCCACATTGGATGCAGAGCTTGAATGGCATCATTTATTCCATTTGCAGATCTACCATCACCATCTGTTGTTGCATACTTTACAAGAATTCCTTGTACAGCTAGCTGGTTACCAATCTTTTTCCCAAGTTCATACTCTGACAATGGAGCTGCACGATGTAGATCAGCCGTGCACTCTTGATGTCCATTTGGACATTCAATTGTAAATCCCTTGCCGCGTAACCATGCTCCGGTCCAACACATCTGATTTAATGATGCGGTTGCAACAATGTACTTTCTATCTGTCACTGTCTCAATGCCGACAGTACATGCTTGATTTGCATTCTGACCAGGTTTCTTTTTGCTTGTTATAGTATTACTTGAGTAACGCACATCGACAGTTAGGTTTATTTCATTTTCAGGGGCTCCTCTCTTTCTATTGACAGCTTTAACTATCTCCAACTTCTCAGCCATGTCATCTTGGTTAAGTTCAACTAATGTATCAGACACTTTGTTTGATGTTCTTTGCATACTACTTTTTGATGGTGGTGAACAATTCATATTTGAAAGTAGTTGTTGTGCTCTAGTATTTCCAATTGCTGTCTCTTGGATGCCTAGAGCAAAACCAACATTTGCAGCTGCTGGATCTGGACCTGGCTTCTGAGATGGTATAGTTTTGTACAGTTTGTACATTGGTGTAATAAATTGGCAACGGACACAGTAAACTTGAAACTTCCAACATACTCCCCACTTCTGAATGTTATAGTATGCAAATGACGGCGGACCACAAGGTTCAGATTTTATTGAATGTAGATGTACTGCATTGTTAATCATTGTCATTAGTTTCTCATTGTCAATAATACTCATTCCGTCAAATAAATTGTTCTTTATTTCTGTTTTCAGATCAACAGTTGGAGTCTTCTTTGGTCGCAAGATACACATCGGACCAGAATTTCCTTCGCAGTCTGGAGTTGTTAATAGCATCCCATCCATTCTTGGTTTGACGACAAGATCATACTCATTGGATTCCATGCGCTCATAGGTAGTGTTAGTTTTAGCAGTGTTCCAGGAAACTTCAGTACCTTTATTCCATGGAGTGTGACCTTTTGTGAAAGCTGATTTTTTAGGTTGTTTGTGATTCGATAAACCAGATTTCTTTTTATTCCATGGAGAATTACCATTTTTGAACATGATGACGATTAAATTTTTTTAAGTCAGCAGTTAAAAATCACTTAAAGAAGTTTGATGCTGAATGTTAGTTACAAACTATTTATTGTTCCTATTATGTAAATGCCTTCAAGTGATGTTTGATACATTTATCTAGATTAATTAAGAATTAAGTGACCGCAGTTGTATGTACACTTATTGTAGTCTGAGCAGGGGGCATCCTTTAAGAATCATTTTTTTCATATTAAACAAACATTATTTCCATATTGGTTGATAACATATGTTTTATTTAGGATTAGTCAGTCTATCAAAACATATATTTACTTAAATGTAAATGAAATGGAATTTAATTTTGAATTTTATTTTCAGAACAAAATTTGAAAAGGACATTTTTAACTTTAATTGAAAAAAAATCATAGACCTGCATGACTAGAATTCTTCTTTTTTAAATTAAAAATTAGAATATTACTTAGAAAATGTTCCTATACAACTTAAAATGTATAATTTTTATGTTTTACAGAAAAAAAAATCTCATCTAGTGGTTGTTATAATACATGCGAAAAGAAAGAAACTACTTTAAAATGGTGCTTTCCTAAAACCATAATTTTTGCTAAAGTTGAAATAAATTTAGAATTTTTTGAAAGATGTTTTTCTTCGTTATATGTTTGTTGAATTTTTTATGAAAGAATTATGGAGAAAAAAGATTGATTTCTATTTTTTATTAAATTTTTAAAATTAAAAACATTGTTTTCTTATGGTATTTCTCTTATAATTTATTTCTCTTTAAAATTGTTTTAAAACCATAAAATGAACATTATGTCTAAATCTAGAAACCTATTTCAGCATGCTAAATTTTATTTCATAAAGATATTCCAACAAATGGGAAAGTTATTCAACTTTTCAAAATTAACATTGCTGGGCTAACTCGTCTTTATTGCTTTCTACTGATAAGATATTTGTGAACATGGGTTGTGTCATAAAATATGGTGTAACTTTTTTAATACGTCTTTAAATGGCAAATAAGTTGGTAAAGTTCTTCGATATACATTTTCCATTGTTCGTATGAATTTTTGTAGGACTAGATGAAAAAAAGTTGGTCTAATAGGCTTCAGACCACAATTAATTCCCTTTGCTCGTGGTCTAGGAATGTAGTTCCTATAGTAAAAATAGGTAATTTCTTCCATAATTTTTTTCTGTGCTTTTTATTTGCAAAAGTGAGTGTTTCTTGGTTAATTTTGGTAGAATAGTGTTTGAATGAATTGCTATGATACCCAAAACTTGAATATTTGAAATTGAAAGTTGTAAATTGTCTTCAGTTCAAAGGTCAAATTTTTGGTGTTTACTTTCTTTTCGTTGGTTAGGTGAACCCCATGGATGTGTATTGAGGTGTTACGGACGAAAGCACTGATGGATTTTTCTGGCATTGTAATATTTTCCTGAGAAAAGGATGATCTTCATGTGGAGCAAATGTCATTTTGTTTGAAGCGGTGTAATTTTTTTTATATGTCATTATTTTTACAAAGAATGTATAGGCAAATTAATTGTGGTCTGAGGCCTAGGAGACGGGTGTTGATTGCACACAAAAAATGACTTTCTGACCTTATTTTTTACAGTATTTGAATAACAATCACTGTTTTAGAATCGTAATGAAAAGGGCTTTCCTTTGATATAAGTTTGAAGGAGAAATTTAAATTTGAAATTTAATTTATTTCAAAAATATGATTTTAAAAACAAGAAATTTTAATTGTAGGATTAATTTGTAAAAAATAAGGTCACAAAATTATTTTAGTGTGCAAATTCATACTCTTATGTGCACTGACATGACCCTTAAACTTTACAAAGTTAAAATGGAGGCATTTTTTGAAAAATATCTGACTAAATTGTATGAAAATGCCATGCTTGGCCAAAATGGAGAATGTAATATTTGGACTGGGGCTTGTACATCCAATGGCAAATATGGAGTTTTAAATTGCAAATTCCCAAATGCCATTGGATGGACAAAAATTCATGTTCACAGACTTGCCTACATGATAAAGCACAAAAAATTTAACTTCCAAGGGCTAGATGTGTCACATCTGTGTCATAATTCAAAGTGCATAAATACTGACCATTTATCACTTGAACCACATGTTTTCAACAATAGCAGAATGACTTGTGTGTCTGTTGGGAAATGTTTAGGACACCCATTTCCTCTTCATCCTTGTAAAATTGAACTGAAGATGGCAAATAATAATTTGAGTAAATAAATAATTTAATTTTTACTTATTTGATAATTAAACATGATAAGTATACATGACTTTGCTGACACATTTTATCATTCAATGAATTTAGAATAATTGTGAAATAATATCAGTCTTTTTAATAGTTCACTGACATGTTTAAAACCAAATTATAATCACAGTCATATTCAGTTAAGTGAAATTGAAAATCATATGTGACTTTACATCATTAAAGTCTTTTCTTTACACAACTGGCATGGTCATCCAGCACAGGATCAAGTTGACCTTTTTTATATACATCACAAATGTTTGCTTTATTTAAGTCCTTGAATGTTTTATGCACAACTAAGTTTTCTGCCTTTTGTGAAAGTTTACGGTGCTGTACCTCTTCTCTTTTTTGATATTCTTTCTGGTATGCACATTCTCGATCGGTACTGTCCAGGAAGGCATTTGTCCGGTTACTAAGTTCAATACCCAGTCTGACACACTTCATTTTTGTTGATGTGCCAGGGGAATTGTTACTACGGTGGACAGTAGCCGCAAGTCGACCTTTCATGTTTCTGCTAAAGTACACATTTTTAGGCAAATTTGCACTTATGGCCCTATGCGTAGCTTCATTTTTGTTCGTATTGTCATACAGCTTCATACTGTCTAGAGCGTTGATACTTAGTTTCATTTTTAAAATTTCAAATAACAAATGTTTATCATTTTCATTCATTTGCAGGCGTGTGATCTGATATGAGGACAGAAATATTGAACGATTCCACCAGTTTTTGGTCTCGGCACCAGCACAGACTATGGAATTGGTACTGCACATAGAACAGTCGCCATCATAACACCTCATGGTAGCTTCGAAAGCTTTTGATAAGTCTTCTGATATCTTCTGAATGTCACGGCCATACACTTCCATGAGATGACTGGTAATCAATGAAGACCTAGCTTTTATGTCCTGGCTGAAAAGCTTTTGAATTATTTTCTTTTGCTCTTTTGTCCTGCAACCGAACATATTGTCACTGAAATTAGCACGCATAGCTGCACGAAATTGCCCGTTTCCCAGATGGATAGGATCTGCTAGCCGCTCTACCTTCCACATTGGATGCAGAGCTTGAATGGCATCATTTATTCCATTTGCAGATCTACCATCACCATCTGTTGTTGCATACTTTACAAGAATTCCTTGTACAGCTAGCTGGTTACCAATCTTTTTCCCAAGTTCATACTCTGACAATGGAGCTGCACGATGTAGATCAGCCGTGCACTCTTGATGTCCATTTGGACATTCAATTGTAAATCCCTTGCCGCGTAACCATGCTCCGGTCCAACACATCTGATTTAATGATGCGGTTGCAACAATGTACTTTCTATCTGTCACTGTCTCAATGCCGACAGTACATGCTTGATTTGCATTCTGACCAGGTTTCTTTTTGCTTGTTATAGTATTACTTGAGTAACGCACATCGACAGTTAGGTTTATTTCATTTTCAGGGGCTCCTCTCTTTCTATTGACAGCTTTAACTATCTCCAACTTCTCAGCCATGTCATCTTGGTTAAGTTCAACTAATGTATCAGACACTTTGTTTGATGTTCTTTGCATACTACTTTTTGATGGTGGTGAACAATTCATATTTGAAAGTAGTTGTTGTGCTCTAGTATTTCCAATTGCTGTCTCTTGGATGCCTAGAGCAAAACCAACATTTGCAGCTGCTGGATCTGGACCTGGCTTCTGAGATGGTATAGTTTTGTACAGTTTGTACATTGGTGTAATAAATTGGCAACGGACACAGTAAACTTGAAACTTCCAACATACTCCCCACTTCTGAATGTTATAGTATGCAAATGACGGCGGACCACAAGGTTCAGATTTTATTGAATGTAGATGTACTGCATTGTTAATCATTGTCATTAGTTTCTCATTGTCAATAATACTCATTCCGTCAAATAAATTGTTCTTTATTTCTGTTTTCAGATCAACAGTTGGAGTCTTCTTTGGTCGCAAGATACACATCGGACCAGAATTTCCTTCGCAGTCTGGAGTTGTTAATAGCATCCCATCCATTCTTGGTTTGACGACAAGATCATACTCATTGGATTCCATGCGCTCATAGGTAGTGTTAGTTTTAGCAGTGTTCCAGGAAACTTCAGTACCTTTATTCCATGGAGTGTGACCTTTTGTGAAAGCTGATTTTTTAGGTTGTTTGTGATTCGATAAACCAGATTTCTTTTTATTCCATGGAGAATTACCATTTTTGAACATGATGACGATTAAATTTTTTTAAGTCAGCAGTTAAAAATCACTTAAAGAAGTTTGATGCTGAATGTTAGTTACAAACTATTTATTGTTCCTATTATGTAAATGCCTTCAAGTGATGTTTGATACATTTATCTAGATTAATTAAGAATTAAGTGACCGCAGTTGTATGTACACTTATTGTAGTCTGAGCAGGGGGCATCCTTTAAGAATCATTTTTTTTCATATTAAACAAACATTATTTCCATATTGGTTGATAACATATGTTTTATTTAGGATTAGTCAGTCTATCAAAACATATATTTACTTAAATGTAAATGAAATGGAATTTAATTTTGAATTTTATTTTCAGAACAAAATTTGAAAAGGACATTTTTAACTTTAATTGAAAAAAAATCATAGACCTGCATGACTAGAATTCTTCTTTTTTAAATTAAAAATTAGAATATTACTTAGAAAATGTTCCTATACAACTTAAAATGTATAATTTTTATGTTTTACAGAAAAAAAAATCTCATCTAGTGGTTGTTATAATACATGCGAAAAGAAAGAAACTACTTTAAAATGGTGCTTTCCTAAAACCATAATTTTTGCTAAAGTTGAAATAAATTTAGAAATTTTTGAAAGATGTTTTTCTTCGTTATATGTTTGTTGAATTTTTTATGAAAGAATTATGGAGAAAAAAGATTGATTTCTATTTTTTATTAAATTTTTAAAATTAAAAACATTGTTTTCTTATGGTATTTCTCTTATAATTTATTTCTCTTTAAAATTGTTTTAAAACCATAAAATGAACATTATGTCTAAATCTAGAAACCTATTTCAGCATGCTAAATTTTATTTCATAAAGATATTCCAACAAATGGGAAAGTTATTCAACTTTTCAAAATTAACATTGCTGGGCTAACTCGTCTTTATTGCTTTCTACTGATAAGATATTTGTGAACATGGGTTGTGTCATAAAATATGGTGTAACTTTTTTAATACGTCTTTAAATGGCAAATAAGTTGGTAAAGTTCTTCGATATACATTTTCCATTGTTCGTATGAATTTTTGTAGGACTAGATGAAAAAAAGTTGGTCTAATAGGCTTCAGACCACAATTAATTCCCTTTGCTCGTGGTCTAGGAATGTAGTTCCTATAGTAAAAATAGGTAATTTCTTCCATAATTTTTTTCTGTGCTTTTTATTTGCAAAAGTGAGTGTTTCTTGGTTAATTTTGGTAGAATAGTGTTTGAATGAATTGCTATGATACCCAAAACTTGAATATTTGAAATTGAAAGTTGTAAATTGTCTTCAGTTCAAAGGTCAAATTTTTGGTGTTTACTTTCTTTTCGTTGGTTAGGTGAACCCCATGGATGTGTATTGAGGTGTTACGGACGAAAGCACTGATGGATTTTTCTGGCATTGTAATATTTTCCTGAGAAAAGGATGATCTTCATGTGGAGCAAATGTCATTTTGTTTGAAGCGGTGTAATTTTTTTTATATGTCATTATTTTTACAAAGAATGTATAGGCAAATTAATTGTGGTCTGAGGCCTAGGAGACGGGTGTTGATTGCACACAAAAAATGACTTTCTGACCTTATTTTTTACAGTATTTGAATAACAATCACTGTTTTAGAATCGTAATGAAAAGGGCTTTCCTTTGATATAAGTTTGAAGGAGAAATTTAAATTTGAAATTTA